TGACTTATAAATCCTTGAGCTAGCGGTAAACCAAGAGATTTTTATCAAATCGTTCTACAATACACAAAACAACTTTTCAAACCAGAAGCTGAAAAAAAACACCAGAATATTCCCGTAGGAAATATAATAGTTGATTAGGCGGTCTTCAAAAGAAGGAGTGGTTTGAACCACTTTTTAAATACTTTAAAAAGGCCTTCGGGGAGCACTGAAATAGTCATCTAAAACGTTTAACAGTTCAAGTCATATACCGAGAGAAGGGCGCTTCTAAAACCTTCGGTAAACAATAATGTACACTCGGGGCCGTTTGCACTATTTATCTGTCTTAACGAAGAGAGCGCCATCTGTGCTTACAAAGCAAAGTGGAGGCTTATCAGCCAATGAAACCAGCATTTCAAGTCTGTAAGCAAACAATTGTACTTTAAAATGCCCCATCTGCCACGAAATACATACGTGATGCATATATTTATATAATGATAAAAAGACTCAGGCTGAAAAACTCGAGGTTTAAGTATATATATATAAACATACAGTCCTCGAGTATAAAACATCTGTCTATATATGTCGTACGTACTAGACTCTTCTCCAGAAACTGTTTAGTCTATAAAAGTTCCATAAAAAATTCTTACGTTCATAAGAGTCACAATATTTTTTTATGTTTTGTTTTTTTAAAGAAAAAAGGTTAAACTTTTGTTTTGGATGAAGACAAAGATTCGGTGGGGATTATCAGTTGCAAGTGACGACAGAAAGGTTCGGTGGGGATTTTCAGTTGCAAGTAACGACAGAAAGTTTCGGCGGGGATTTTCAGTTGCAAGTGACGACAGAAAGGTTCGGTGGGGATTTTCAGTTGCAAGTGACGACAGAAAGATAATGGCTGAAGACGGCTTGAATGGGTAATGAAGAAAAACTTTAATATAAGTTTAACATAACCGCAAATGTACAAGGTTTTGTCATCATCACCTGGTGATGACAAAACCTTGTCGAAACGTTGTACATTTGCGTTAAACTTATATTAAAGTTTTTCTTCATTACCCATTCAAGCCGTCTTCAGCCATTATTAGTCTCAAAGTGGGTTCCTCGTCACCGAATTTGACGACAGAAAGGTTCGGTGGGGATTTTCAGTTGCAAGTGACGACAGAAAGTTTCGGTGGGGATTTTCAGTCTTATGTAAAAGTCAGACTGCACTTACATGGTTATATTTATTTTACTTTATATTCTCATTAATTAAACATAACTTGTACTTTTCAGTAGTTAAACACCAATGAATTTTATTTACGGAACTTCGATAGAAGACTTTTTGCGATAATCGTCCAACAAACGTTTTCATAAACTTGAAAAACGTTTATCTTCATCTGGCTTTAAGTAAGATAGAACTAATGGCATGAGTGTTTGCTTACCAGTAGCGAAAACGTTTTATTAATATTCTATAGAAATAAAAAATATTAAAGTCCCCCGGTGGATCAACGTTAAGTTTACGGACTTACAACGCTAAAATCCTGGATTCGATTACCCGTGGTGGATTGAGCGAAGATTGTCCATTACGTAGCTTTGCGCTAAAAACAACAAACAATAATAAAACATAAATAAAGGAACTGTTACGTCTACAGAGATGTACGGAGATGAGGATTAATTTGGTGACTTTATCTGATTTTGAAGTACTTAATGAACCATTTTTCTCCTTATGATGAGCGACCGTTATAACTATTGTTTCGTCAATCGTTTACCAAAGTTTCTAATTCAATTACGTCACTATTCGTATCCCGCCACCTGCTCGCAACTCGAAACGTAAGAGGCAGTTAACTTTCAAATACAAGTCACGTGGTTTAGGTCTAACGGAATTCTCGAGGGTCCAGCTGCTGTTTTCGATCAAGGATATCATCCTTCTATACTTAAATACGTGTGATTTAAACGTTTGAATCTCTAGAGAAGCAATTCAGGGACGTGCAAGTGCTTTTCTTGCATCTTGTTAAAGCATAATTTTACTACTTACATAATGAAACAAAGGAAATATTTCCATTTCTCATAGTTTGGAAACTTAATGGAAGACTGTATAGAACACTTAGCCACTTTATATACATTTTACTTCATACTTAACATACATATATATGTATGTTTATGTAAGCCAACGTTTTTATTAATTTTTAAATATCTATTTTGCTAACCTAAAATGAAATAATAATTATTTAAGCTAGTAATATACAAGAAACGAACAAATATTTAAGTTGTTCATATAAAACTGAACAAATTTTTAAGTTGCTAATATACAAGTGAATGAATTTTTAAGTTTCTCTTATACAAGTAATGAACAAATATTTAAGTTGCTAATATAAAAGTGAATGAATATTTTAAGTTGTTCATATATAAAAGGTGAATAAATAAGTTTCTCCTATATATAAAACGAACGAAAATTTAAGCTGCTCATATACAAGAAATGAATGAAAATTTAAGTAAACTGCTAATACACATGAGGTGAATGAATATTTAACTTACTAATACATAAAAAGTGAACAAATATTTAGTTAAGTTGCTAAAACGCAGTGAATGAACATTAAATTACAAATATACAAGAGGTGAATTAATATCTAAGCTGCTAATAGACAAGAGGTGAATGAATATTTAAGCTGCTAGTATACAATAGGTGAATGAATATTTAAGCTGCTAATATACAAGAGGTGAATGAATATTTAAGCTGCTAATAGACAAGAGGTGAATGAATGTTTAAGCTGCTAGTATACAATAGGTGAATGAGTATTTAAGCTGCTAATATACAAGAGGTGAATGAATATTTGAGCTGCTAATATACAAGAGATGAATGAATATTTAAGCTGCTTATATACAAGAAAGAAGCGCCTATTTCTGTTTCGGAAGTACATGTGACTAATGCATACTTTACTGACATGCACGGTATTTATGTGAATGGTTAGACTGCTAACTTAACAAAGGGTTTAATGAATAGTTATACTGCTGGAGGAAATTTTACAGTCTGTTAATATCGCTTATCTACAAACGATTGTACTATATTATATATATATGTGCATAAAGTCCGATTTGTATGCGTGCGTATTAACAATGGTACTATTTTAAAAGTTAGCCTTCTTCGAGATTATAAATGACCTATGACCATTTTAAGGTCACGAAAGAGTGATCGTAATCTGTTATACATCTGGTAATTATGCGTTATATGAAAATGTACTGTCTCTAAGATTAAATCTAAGCCTATCATTAATACACAGTTATGGTCATTCAACCTCTCTGTCAGTAAATCATGTTTTCGCCGAAGCAGTATGTACGATTTCAAAGCAGTATTTCATATATCTTAAGAACGAAACGGCCACTTACTTGCAGTAGGCTTCACCACGAAGATTTGACACACAAGAGGCTCCATTTTTACACGGGTTTGGGGAACATGACACCAAAGCTGAAAGAAAAACGTTAAAATAAATCAGTTTTAAAACAGTCAAATAAAGAACGTGTTCTTACAATAGTTTCAAGGTACTCTTTAAAAATCAAAACAAGAACATCTTATTTTTGCACAATTAATTGTACGTAACCCTTGTCAAACATTTGAGGCTCCATCTTTACACGAGTTTGTGGAATACAAAACCAACCCTGAAAAAATTAAAATACATTAATTTTAAAACAGCCAAGTGAAGAATGTAATTATAAAGTGTTCTTACAACAATTTACGTTCCTTTTTTTAAAAAAACAGGAACATCTTATTTTTATATAATTAATTGTAAATAATTCTTGTAAAACACTTTACGTGGCCATAAGCTGAGATTCATGTACTCTTCCTAAAACAGCTTTTATTATTATTTTTTTCTTCAGAAGTCAATTTTAAAAAATATAAGTTTTTTTTTAAATCTGAGCATGCGAAAAAGAAAGTTACTCTGTATCACAATAGAATAAAAATATTTTACTTCGAAATAGCTACTTTGAAGTATATATATATATGATTATCAAAGAAACTGCACCGATGCAAGGCTATACATACTTACTAGAAAAGCTATTCATGACTGTCCAAATCTTACTACAAAATGTAAACTCAACCTGATAAAAAGTGAGTTTACCTAACAGCGTACACTGCCAAATCCAAAGATAAGGAAAACAAACATGTGTACATCATGTACGTGTACATACATACGTATCAGTGTTCTAATAAACGAAATGCAATGAGAAAACGCAGCGTTCTTCAGAAATAACCACAATACTCTCCCATTTAAGACACAGAAAATATCACTTTTTACTTGTACATAAACTTTTTTTAAATTAATTTCGTAAATAAAGGTCATATTCAGTGTGGGCCGGGTGTAGCCTATTATTTTTGAGCCCGAATTGTGAATGCAAGGATTTCCGGTTCGCGACTGGATGTATGTGGATACGTAATAAGAGTAATGGTCAAATCCCACTATTCGAAAGACTAGAGTAGCTCAAGACTTAGCGGTTGGTGCTGTTGAATAACTGTCTTCCCTCTAGTTTATTAGTTCAATGTTTAGGGACGCCTATGCCCAGATTTCTTACTTGAACCTCTGTGTGAAATTCCGAAGCAAACAAAACTAGCTTTCACAAAAGCCAATAGCCTTAGTTCTAACAATAGTATGCTGTTTCTTTTTTAAGTTCAATCTTTCTCGATTGCAAAGTAATAGCATATATATAACATGTTAAATGCTCCTAGATATGGGCACTTTACTACCACACAAGACTTTAAATTACTTTAGCAACTTTACACAGAATTTGATGCTTTTATTTTAGGAACTTCATCTGCCTGGAGTGTAGGAGAGGACAACGTTTCAATTTTCGTGCGGAAGCCACGATCAGATCGTAAAGGTCGATGATGGCGTTTCGGCACATCTGCTTGTTACTTCTATAGGTGCATGAAACGCCAGTTTCGACCTGAAAGCTCTAAATCAGACCTTCTCTTGAAAGTAAACGAATATTAAGCGCTAACACCGTGGAGTTCCATGCATCATAATTATCGCCAAATAGGAGATAAAACATAGGGGGAAAAAACCACAGTGCAAATATTACAATATTCTTAAAGACTTATACATTGTCTTTGTATGATCACCTCTTTGTGTTCTTAATAGAATGTTACTTTGTAATAGCTTTGAGCAAAATAAACAAAAAAGGCTTTGTGACTATATGGCCAATAAACGTGACGTCTTTTTACGTAATAAAGTTACAGTATATTAAAAGTAAAATAACAGTAGTTCTTTGTGTATTATACAATAAAAACGGACTTTTTTGGGTCTTATATAGTAGCAATATGAAACAATCATCTCCTTTCAGTAAATAGATTAGTTTTTTTAAATACCAAGAGCGGAATTTGGAAAATTATGCATACATCAATAATTAAAGGTGAGTTAATGCAGTGATAAGTCAATGACCCTTCTGGCAACATGAGCTAAAGCAGTGATACATCTATGACTCTTCTGTCAAGATAAGCTAAGGCAATCATAAATCAATGACTCTTATGTCAACATGAGCTAAGAAACTGATAAATCAACGACTCTTCTGTCATCATGAGCTAAGATAGCAATACATCTATGACTCTTCTGTCAAGATCAGCTAAGGCAGTGATACGTCAATTACTCTTATATCAAGGTGAGTTAAACTGTGGGTTATGGCAGTGTTACATTAGTGATTATTCTATCATGGTGGGTTATGGCAGTGATACATCAATGACTCTTCTATCAATGTGAGTTATGACAGTGATACATCAATGATTATTCTATCATGGTGGGTTATGGCAGTGATACGTCAATGACTCTTATATCAAGGTGAGTTAAACTGTGGGTTATGGCAGTGATACATCAATGATTATTTTATCAAGGTGGGTTATGACAGTGATACATCAATGACTCGTCTATCAAGGTGAGTTAAACTGTGGGTTATGGCAGTGATACATCAATGATTCTTCTATCAAGGTGGGTTATGACAGTGATACGTCAATGACTCTTATATCAAGGTGAGTTAAACTGTGGGTTATGGCAGTGATACATCAATGATTCTTTTATCAAGGTGGGTTATGACAGTGATACATCAATGATTATTCTATCATGGTGGGTTATGGCAGTGATACATCAATGACTCGTCTATCAAGGCCAGTTAATAGAGTATATGCGACATAGTAACCGAGTTTCGTTAACAGGCTCCACACGTTTCCAGCTCTGTATACGTTGCCATAATCATACAGTAACTAGCACTACCTTGGAGTGAGTGCACCCTAGTTAAGTCGTTATTTTCATTCAGAACTTCTTCTCCCAATTCTTGTATACGTTGCCATAATCATACAGTAACTAGCACTATCTTGGAGTGAGTGCACCCTAGTTAAGTCGTTATTTTCATTCAGAACTTCTTCTCCCAATTCTTGTATACGTTGCCATAATCATACAGTAACTAGCACTACCTTGGAGTGAGTGCACCCTAGTTAAGTCGTTATTTTCATTCAGAACTTCTTCTCCCAAAACACGTCATCACTTCAAGCTAAATAAGCATATGTTGTCGATTTCCCTTCGATAACGTTATTGCCAACTACGAACTTTGAAAATTCATTTGTCTTTTTTTTTACTCTCATTTCACTCACACAATCTATTGTTATTTTCTTTTTTTAACCCACAACCACGTCTTTTAAACAAAAGTCACTTTACAGTTGTATTGCACGCGGATAATTCTTTTCCTTCCGTTATCTCTGTTCCCCTCTTTCTTAACTTTTTTCATTTATTTTTTAGTTATTTATATTATTTCTATGATCTGATTTGTTTCTTCTTCGTGTATTTAACATTGTTTTTTTTTTAAATTAGATTTTTTCACTTACGCTTTCACCTCACATATTTACATTTTCAGTTTTCAACTATCGGTGAGTGAAGCTAATTAGATGTTCTCTCCTGATCTGAAAACGTCGTCAAAACACCAAGAGAAGACGCGGGAAAAGTTCATAAAAACTTACAAACAACGGCTTTCAACATTACTAGGTGTGTAATCAGGGGTGAAATTCTGCCGGTACTGACTGAGTACCGGGACTTGTTTGAGCTGCTTTGTCGTTTTTTTATGTGTACACGTTCAAAAACAGGCTCACTTCACCCAGTTGAGTACCTCTACTTTTTTTAGGAATTTCGCCCCTGTGTGCAATAATATATATTAATGAAACGTTATTAGAAATATGAAAAAAATACAACTGGGGCTTCACCGTTTCGTTTGTTGAGTTAAAAAACAATATCGATACATCCTTGTTGAACAAGCGCATGCGCAGTAATTTCAGTGTTTCACTTGTAAGTTTACAACATTATAAATTGAGTAAATTTGAGAATTAATGAAAGTAGTGCCTAGTTTTCATTGAATGGATAGATAGATAGACAGATAGAAAACCAATTGAAGGCAGATTTAACGAGATTTGGTCATTACATTAATGCACCATAGCCTTTTCACATGATTGCTTTGAAGTTTGTAACTTTTATTTGCCTAATAAATACAATCACAGCTATTATTTCCAGTTGAAACTCAACGGTGTACGTAGGCCTATAAAGGCCTTGGGGGGGGATATTTGCCTCCCCTCCCAATCTTCGAGCACCCCCAGATTAATAATTATTTCTCCGGTAATAATTATTTTAAATCTAAATAACTGCCAGTAACTACTACTACTACTACTTTCTTGACTCGAACTGCATACGCGGCGGGAACCGGGGGGGGGGGCATGAGCCCCCAGTTTTGATCCGATCACTATCATAAAAAGCCGATGTTTCAGTTTTTATTTCATTGGTCACATTGGTTAACATAGCGAATAAGGTTCAAATATGTTTTGCCGCCTATGGATCCTTGGGACAGCTGCCTCATCTATATGCAACTGTTACTCGTACTTGATTATGTGTATAGCAGCCACATAACGCATCTCTCTCTCTTTCCATCACACAGGTCAACTTCTTATTAAAAGAATCATTATACTTTTCTATAACGTATGCCCGAGACGACAAATCTCGTTCAGCTTACCGCTCTGTCATAAAAAACGTTAGGACACTGTTTGGGCACCCCAACTTGCTACTTCCTCCTGCACCCCATGACTACAGCGAATTGTCACACAGGAAGTTTGGAGAGCGTGAAAATGGCGAACACAACGAAATGTAATCTTCCGAGCGTCATTGTTAATCAGTCACAATTTCACTTCCCTTCCACGTAATAAATCAAGCCAATGATAACTGACCACTGTCCCATGAACATAAACTGAAATTTCTCCTTTTTTTCTAAGAAAAACTTTTTTTATTTTTCTATTTTTCAGATAAGCCTGCCCCATTTTTTTCCCCTTTGCGTGAAAACGAAACTGCGCAAGCTAGGCGGACAGCGAAACAACATGATTTATATTTGAAAAATACTGTGCAAATATCATCACTTTATCGAATAAGGATCAAATAAATTTTACATTTAGATTTAATTACTGTAATGTCAAAAGTAGTGGAGCAATTAACGCTAAAAACCTCAGCCTTCAATCCCATATTTATAACTACCAATGTGTCACTTATTCAGGCAGAAACAAATTCATTCTCTGCTCAACGTACTGTTGAAAAGAGTACTCGTGTTCCTTTGTTTCCCTAGCAAAATCTTGAGTCTACCGCTAACGTTATACTTCAAATCAAAGCACGGGAATACTTTTGAATGCTTTAAACTTTCAATAACCCAACAGAAACTTGGATGAAGATTTTGTTTTAAAAAAACTGAAAATCAAATAATGATCTGAATAAAATTTTGAGTTTGAAAATCAAATAATGATCTGAATAAAAATATTGAGTGTGAAAATCAAATAATGATCTGAATAAAAATATTGAGTGTGAAAATCAAATAATGATCTGAATAAAAATATTGAGTCTGAAAATCAAATAATGATCTGAATAAAAATATTGAGTCTGAAAATCAAATAATGATCTGAATAAAAATATTGAGTCTGAAAATCAAATAATGATCTGAATAAAAATATTGAGTGTGAAAATCAAATAATGATCTGAATAAAAATATTGAGTCTGAAAATCAAATAATGATCTGAATATTTATATCAAATGTTTATGGGAGGATCAAGAATAGTTCTCTTCCTCCTGATATATTTAATACACTAGTGATTTTATTATCCTGTTCTGGAAGCGTTTGTTTGTTGTAAAGCACAAAGTTGCACAATGAGCTACATGTTATTTTCTCATTACTGGGATCAAACCCCGCAGTTCTGTGTTATAAGGCCCCAAGCTTACCACTAAGGTACCGAGGGTGGCGGCATTTTGAAGGGAAGAGAGATCTTGGATACAGGATAGCCTGCGTTCGATAAGAGTCAATAAATCATAAAATCTTACACATATTTGCAAGCGAGAAGAAAATGTTTCAGGTTGAAACGAACAGGGGAAGGGGGGGGGGTACAAAAGAGAATTAAGACACCACCAAAGGAAGGAAGGGAGCAGATGCACGTTGTGCCTTCGTAACTGTTGTCTTGTTACAAAGGTGGCTGACTGGCTGGCCAGCTAGGCCTTGTTTACAAAGGTGGCTAGCCAGTTCTTGTGTTAAGCTGACCGTGGGAACGCGAATCGCGAGGCTAGTAGAACATGGATCAGTACGCTCGTGTCGCCGGTTAGCCTGAAGCTGAATGTTGCTTGAGAAACGGAAACGGTCTCATATTTACACTCTAACCATTGACGTGCTGCTGTAGTGAGCTAATCTATACATTAATCTTGACAGCCCAATACACCCAACAAGTAACATTATATGAATAACTCAGGCGGAAAAAAACAACTGAAGCTACAAAATTTCAAATAAGGAGATTGGGAATGGTATTTTTTTTCAAAGATTTAATGTGTCTATTAACAAAAAACTTTTAAACAGAAACACTAAAAACGATACAAGTTATCAATTATAAACACTAATATGCTAGATATATATATATATATACAGTAGCTCTCACACTTTTGATCTCACCGGACCTCAATGAGTTAATATTCCAAGTACCACCCGTATATTTTCCGATAACCTATTATATTAAACGCCCCCCAGTGGCACAGCGGAATGTCTGCGGACTTACAACGCTAGAATCCGGTTTTCGATACCAGTGGTGGGCAGAGCACAGATAGCCCACTGTGTTGTTTTGTGCTTAACTTCAAACAAACAAACAATTATATTAAACTGTTAATATTATTAACATTATATTATTAATATCATTGTTCAAGCGCAATAATTACCTTCACATGAATATACATATTGTGACATTGTATTTGTACATTGTCGGTCTGTTAAATTAATTGTTGTAACGTATAACTAACATTGTACAGTCAGTCCGTAAAGCTATTTTTTTTAACACATAACTAATACGGTAACATCGTACATTGTCGGTCTGTTAAAACAATCGTTGTATCACTGTACACTATCAATCCGTTGTATTAATTGTTTTATGACATAACTAATACCATAACAATAAATCAAATTATTAATATTGTACACTGTCAATGTCAGTCCGTCAAATTAATTGTTGTATGACATAATTAATACCGTCCGTCATATTAATTGTTGTATCTGACTTTATCGCTTTTAAAAAGTTTAAAGACATGTGACGTATTCAATATATGAAAAATAACAATTGTTTCTAGAAATATCAAATTATCGATCTAAATCAACATTGTTGTTAATTGTTCTAAAAATATCAGCACCATATTGAATATAACATGTATATGTATATCCAGATATATACATAATGTATAATGATATCAAGCAGAAAATAAGAGTAACTATATCTTCGTACATGTTACAGAAGACCCGGGTTAAGAAATTTTAACTTACCTTGGACGAAGCAGGGATGGAAAGCGACCACTAAGAAAACGGCACAAACGAGCGGTCGACGTTGCATTGCCGTCCGTGAAAATATACCACTAACAGCAATCCACAAAATATCACTTTTTGTACGACTTTTTGAGTTTAGATTGTCATGTTTAATATCCAATGAGCCCGTTTAATCACAAACACGACATCAGAAATAATGTTCTTCTCGAAATGTTTATATTGAGTTGTTTAGTTTTATAATACGTCCACTCCAAACACAAACTCCAACCAACCGACTTCTGATATGTTCCTATTGTGAGCGTTGTCAGTGTAAAATGGTATTATTTCGCAGAGCACAGGCTACGGTATATCCTTCCGCACTTCAAAACTTTCAAGCTTTGGAATATGTTTGAATATAATTTCTTCGTTATCTTCTTTAAAATAGAATCAGATTATTAAAATATTCTTATAAAATTTAAGCTTAAATTGTTTACTCGAGTAACTTTATCAACAATAAAGCTGACGCACTATCTTCTTTATCAGTTCACGCTCTTTTGCGCAGTGATACACTGAGCCACCAGTCATAACTTAGTGCTTTGAGCCTACTCAAGTTCGGCTCAACTACCGTTCGAACGCGTCACCGCTTGCACACCAGGTGAAAGAGGAATTTTGTGATATATATAATGGTATATATGGATGTATTATAAAACTAAACATTTGATAATTAATATGTATATTTATGGCAGTGAATATCTCTTTATTTCAAAATATTACTTTTTTAAGGAATCACACACTATAATAAACACCCAGTAAATAAACAGGATAGAGTCGATGGAATATTACAATAAACTTTAGGATAAACCAAATTATATCTGTTCTGTTGTCTTAAAAACTATTTATGGACACGAAGTAGCTACCTCACAGCGCAACTTACTCGACGTTTGCATGATTTAACATGTGTTGACCAAAGCCTAATGTTGTCAGGTGGCTACTTCTATAATACTAGCTATTAAACTTTACATCCGAAAGCATTATACGTAATCAGAAAGCCTGTCTATATTTCTAAGTTTGTGACCATAGCATCGTATTTTGTGTACAAATATCGGGTAATCGAAGACCATCTCCCAACGAATACAAAACTACCCTGTTCAAAAAATACACGTATAGGTAGCTGGACAGACAGACAGACATCAAGATAGAATTTGAATTTTATAAAATATAAGTGTTTTTGTAGTATTTGAAACTAATTTGTTTATAGACGTTAATCGTAATTCATAACAACGATTTGCATATTCTATTGCAGTGGCTAGTCGCTACATATACGAGCCGTGGTGCCACGGGCGACATATTTAACACTGATATCTTTGGCTCATGGAGGATAGATATATCACAAGCCTTTCTGAAGAAAGATATTCGTACGACGAGATTTTTAAACCATGTAGACTCAAAGAGAACAACATTTCAAAGAAGGAAGCTTTCAGTGTACTCCATGGAAAAATAGCTTTCAATGTTCTCCATGGAATCATAAAACTAGTGCACAGGGAAGAAGTCGCTGTTGAGCATATACAAGTGTTCATGTTTAGAGATTGGATATAATAAAAACACTAAAAATATGATAATGCGATTATTTAACAGTATAAAGAATGCCAACAAATGGTTTCAATAACGTTGCCCAATAGCTAATCATTTAACGAATTCCAACAGATAGTTTCAATAATGTTGCCCAATAGCTTAATCATTTAATGAGTTCCAACAGATAGTTTCAATAATGTTGCCCAATAGCTTAATCATTTAATGAATTCCAACAGATAGCTTCAATAATGTTGCCCAATAGCTTAATCATTTAATGAATTCCAACAGATAGTTTCAATAATGTTGCCCAATAGCTTAATCACTTAATGAATTCCAACAGATAGTTTCAATAATGTTGCCCAATAGCTAATCATTTCAGCCGAATGCCGTATTCAAGTCTATAAATAAACCCATTTTATACTGATATGAAATTTGTTAAATAAGATTACTAAATAATATTATATATATATTGTAAATAGCAGTTCGTAGAATATGCATCTGTCAAATGTAATTCATTAAATGGAAAATTGAATTATTAAAAAGTAATTAAACGATAACTTTGAAAATATTATATTTAATATCGTAAGACTATGCCACAAAAAAAAGCTCGAATCTTTAATCAGTATCGAAAATATGACAAACAAGTATCACTACATTCATAACGAGATCTTTAGAAATGTGTCACACTACACTGGATCTTTAGAAATGTGTCGCACTCCACTGGCAATGTTTTTCCTTGCAATTTCACTGCAAAAATTGTAACTTTTAAAAATTTGAGAGCAATTATAACATGTTATATATGTGTGTCTTACTACGCTGGCTGTACTTTCAATATTTTTTTCCAAGTAATTTCATTGTAGTAGTCGTAACTTTTAAAAATTTTAAGACTTGGAAAAAAACATTGAAAGTACAGTCAGCGTAGTACGACACATATATAACATGCTATAACTGCCAATTCCATTGTAGTAGTCGTAACTTTTAAAAATTTGAGAGAAGTGGTAGCACGTTGTGTTCGTCGTACTACGCTGTCTGTACCATCGTAACATTAGTTGTTATTAAAAATTTGGTTGTAATAGTAGCATATTATGTTTGCCATACTACGCTGACTGCAATTTCAATGTTTTCTTCTAGCAATTACAATTTAATAGTTATCACGATTTAAAATACATATGTATTGTTAACATTTAATGTTTGACGTACTACGCTGGCTGTATTTTCGATGTGGCAATTTCGATGTAAGAATTGTCATGATTTGTAAGAATCTAGGTGCAATAGTAGTATTGTACACTAACGATGGCGTTACCGTTTAATGCAAACACACTTCTTATGTAAAGCTGAACAAGGTAGAAAGCTTTAGGGCTTCTTCCATTGGAAAACACCGGGCTAGACAGCACGTGCTCTTCAGAATTGGCTCAATTGTTGCTATCACTTTCCCACGCTTTCTGGAGTGGGACGCGACGCTCCTGTTGACTGTGCCACGTGCCACTTGCTGTTGTTAAAGTTTTGTCAGACCTGAAATAATCAGATATTATTGATATGATGTCGTAGATCACGGGCCCAAAAAGCGAGAGCTGTTGGGCGGTAGACTTAGCTGAAAAGTGCCTACCTATGCTTTGCCCAAGAGACTGTTTGCCATCTAAAGGTCTGGGCCATAAGTAACTAAGTACCGCAACCAACCAAAGTTTAAAGTGGAAACCTTTCAAATGAAAACATAACCGGATTAAAAGAAAACAAGTGTATATTAAAATGATTATGTAAAACCTTGGGGATCAGTGCTCACAACTGACGAAGTGTAAACCTTCTAGTTAGTGGGGAAGGTTTGAAC